AGCATCTCTTATTTCTCTGCAAGGGAGAAGGATCTTCCTTTCCATCTGGAAGCATAGCGGTGGTGGTCATCACTACTGATGAAGGTTTTATTTGGTAGCTAGAATAAATTAAATGTAGTGCAAAGGCACAGATGTTTAACACCCTAAGTAGCTTTTTTTTCCCCCCTTTTGTTTGCTGCTGTTTTCTTCTAAAACGCATGAGCACGGGTTGCCACAGAGTAAGCTAGGGCATGAACTTAAATGCGTCAGCTATTCTGCATTAGATACTCTTGCGCATGCTTTATTCCAGGGTAGAAAAGGAGAGTTTGCTTCACTGTCGTTAAAGAGCATCTACCTCACATTGTACTGCAGCATGAGAGCATGTTTATGGTGGGCGGTTACTGTGAAGTAGTAGATGTGCTTATAAGTTCATACCCCACATTACCTCGTGGTGATGTGCAGTAATGTGCTCATACCCTGAGGGACTTGTTGATTTTTTTTTTTTGAGATTGGTCATTCTTTGCTTGCATCTGCATGGCTTCTCTTTGCCTTTGCTTGCTACTTGCTGCTGTATCTGCACACCAGGAAGAAATAGCTCAGTCAAATCCATTTAAAGGAAAATGAAACTTGAGTCAAATGACAGTTCTTTGAATTCGTTGAAGTAATTAGGAACTCTGTTCCTCTCCTCTAAAGACAGTTTCAGTGCAAGTGCATTCTACTAGAGAGTTGTCAAAGTTAATCCTGAAAGTGCTGTTAAAATGTATTTTGGCAAGATGGCTGCTCTCCTCTTCCTTAAGTTTTTCTTTTACTATCTGGATATCAACAGGCTGGTTGATTTGTGAGCTGTAGGTTGCCTTCCTAAGCTTGAATATAGTAAAATATAATAAGGGACTGGTTTTATGTGGTAAATTAGATCTACTATTTTGGCTGTCAAACATTGTTCGAGAGAAAATCTAGCCTCTAAACATGTTAGTCTCTCCCTTGCTTGGCATCTGTTTCCTGTTGCTTTTATTTGGTTATTACATTTTTTTTGTAAACAGGAGACATTCGTACAACCCACTTGCTGATGCTGCTTCAAACCAAGTAATAATCTTTATCTTTGCAGCATGACAGCTTGCTTATTTGTAGCACCAGAAGTATGTGCTGCAAAAGATTGTTATCTTGTATGCAAGAGAAGCAACTCTGCTAGTATGGAAATAGAAAGCAAGATGGTATAGCATAGAGGTTTCAAATACAGCAATGTTCAGTTATTCTGTAAATGTTCAGTTCATTTTACAGAGTAAAAGTCTAAAAGTGTGTATGCACACACTCATGTAGTGGTGGCAAAGTTAGAAATATGCTTGTTGCAGTAGAGCTTCACCATGAAAAGGGACTATCTTCAAACTGTATGGTGAGACACCAGTTACACAGATTGAATTTTCTGCATTAAGCAGATGGTCACTTTAAGAAAGAGCAGTCCTTAATGTCAGATTGATACTTACCTGTTCAGCTGTGGTTAAAATGGATGCGACTCTTTTAAAAACTGTTTGGCTTGTCTTAACTGATACAGGTTTTCTGATTGCCTTTCTGTATTGACAGTGCTAAATTGTAATATTTCATTTCCCTTATCAACCCCCCCCCCCCAAAAAAAAAAAAAAAAA